TAATATAATAAGTATAATATAATAAGTAATAAGTAAAAAGTAATAAGTATAGTATAATATAGTAAGTGGAATATTTATATATATTTCTTTTTTAAAATGAGAGCGAGAGTATTTAAATTGCTAAGAAATTTAAGTATTATTATTAAATTTTTTAATAATAATTCCATCCTGGTATTTAATTTTTAAATTTTAATATTAATTTCTGATCTTTAAGTCTCGATGTTCATTATGAAACTTTTCTATAATATTCTTCTCATAATATTAATTAAATATGTTAGATAATTGTATCTTACCTGAAAATCAGTTACGTTGATGTTGAACGTTGGATTCGCTTCAAGGAAGTGTCTGACGTCTGGAACATTGCCATAAAAGACCAGATCGAAAAAGTGTTTCTCCAGATCTTGCAACTGAGGGATTATCACGACGGATTCCTGAAATGTTAGGGAATTTATTAATAATATCTTCAAATGAAAAATTATAAGGAAAATTACCAAGTAAAATAGCAAGATTAAAATTCACCTAATAAAAATGTCTCAGACTCGTAATTGCAATTTTTTAAAGTAATTACAGGTTCGAGGGGAAGCCATAACCTCCGAAGATTAGTATGCAGAAATACTCACCCTTGGTAAGGTGTCTTCTTGTATCTCCTGCGCCATTCCGAGCACGTGTTCACCTTAATTATACCGAACACAACGATGTTCTCTACCTTTTCATTAAAACGAATCGATGAAACCCAAATTGACGCGAAAATTTCGTAGAGAACTCGTTTGTGACAAAGAACTATCGATATTAATGGGCTTCGTTATACTTGCTTCCTTTTCCCATAAATTACGGATGAAATATGGCTGCCTCGATTTGGATCGTTTTCTCAGGCCTTCGATAAGGATCTAGTAACCAAATTTCAGTGTCGAATAATTTCAAATCTCGTCGTTTCTCATTCATCCATATTTTATTAAAATTGCATTCCTCATTGGAGAAATTTTTATGCCAAGAATAAATATTAGAAAAAGTATAGAAATAGTAAAGAAATATAAAAGAGACAAAGAAATTTATTACAAATAAGCGTCATAAAATAGAATACAAAATAGAAAATAAAATAAAACAAAATATAAAACGAAATACGATTATTCGAACCGAATCAATTTGATTCGCAATAAAATACGAGTGATTCGATTACAAAATTAACAAATTAATCAAATTCAGCAATATAAAATTGAAGCACTGCAATTATCTACATATATCTGTACAACTCCGCTATTCTTGATATTTCATGAGAGAAAAAGGAACGAAAAGTAACCTCAAAAAATGAAAAAAAAAAAAAAAATATATATATTAAAAAAAGAAGAGGAAGCAATAAATCACAAGTCACTGGTTTCTGCTCTGTTTAATGATTTAATTCAATCTATCGATGGTGTATATACATAATTTATAATTTGTTCTTCCGCTACGTACAAATAATAATAATAATATAATATAATAAAATATAATATAATAATATTAATAATATAATAATAATTACTATAATATAATAATATATAATATATAAACTTCTGAGGATAACTTAAGGCATCAATGCAGTAACCGATCTAGCGCGAGAACCATCTTCAAAAAGCCACGTTCATCATCGATGATCACCAACGAACCATATTTCGCGTGATTCATACGCTCACGGGTTACTGTACATCGAGGGGAAGGGGGAAATACGTCGCATCGTTTATGAATGGGGGCGGGGGAGGGGGGGGGGCAATTAAATGCAGCAATTTCTATACGAATACGTTTAAAAAGATCGAGCCGAGGAATGCGCGCGCAGAATTCGATCGCAGAAGAGAAAGAAAGATGGCGGACAGCGGACTATTTACAATGATACTTTTCCATTTCTTTATTCTCTTTTCCCTTTAAAGCGCACTCCTAATTTATTTTCCTCTTCCTCGTTCCTCTTCCTCTTCTAGCTCGCCTCTCGAGGTAACAGGAGTGTAATACTTCTTTTCTTCTTTTTCTCTTTATACCTGTTTACCTAGTACACACGCACGGGGGACCAAAAAGCGCAACAGAAAAAGCTTCCGGCTGACGGGAGGACGTCAGCAATTTTTTACTCTCTATAAATAAATTGTTTCTAATGTTAGCCGCATTAGAAGAACGACGAAACGGTTAAACCAGCGATGGCCGGACATCTCTTCATCGGGACATTTGAGGTTAGGTAGAAGCGGTTGATCGGGGGACAGTTGCAGCGCACACGAACTCTAACATCGGTCGGTCGATTCGAGTTTATTGTCTCTATATCGCGGGGAAAGAGATTAATTGGGTAATATGTCTTTAAATGCTTTCTAGTTAGTACAGGCGAGATTAAAAACACATTGCCGAGAGCATTTTACGTTGCGTGAAATGCTGCTGGTTGTTCTGTGACAGTGGTTTTACTGGACACGTGGACAGTACTGCATTTTATCCGTCCTTTCAGCGAAATGTACGATGTAAATCGGTTCGAATACTTGGTTAACTGCTTTTCGAAATACTCCAGATATAAAACGCAGTGTATTTTTTCGGTATATATGTAAAAATAATTAATTTTTTAATATGTATATTACATTATAGCATGCATTTTTCGAAGGGCATCGTTTGAGGTGTTGAAGTATAAAATAGGATGCAGGTCTTCGTTCAATTTTTAAATGGAGTTATATAAAATATATGTTTCCCTTATGTCGTTTAAACAAAATTTATAAAAGGGTATTTTACTTTACGTATCGCAGTTAAAAAGATACAATCAATATATTCTATACAATTTAGTTTGAGATTATTTTGTGCCTCATAAGTTAGGAAGCGAATTTTCTATGATTTTTAGGTTAGGTATATAATTGGCGCGAGATGACGACTGTGTTAATAGAGAAACACTAGATGTACCAATTAATAATTCCTCAACTTCTTTTTTAAATAGAAATATGATTTAAATTTAGAACATACTGCTGTCTGTCTGTTTATAGAAAAAATCTGAATGAACATAACCTTAAAAACGAATCGACTTTGCAGTACAGAAAATACCGTATACTATACAAACAATAACAATGAAAAGTTACAACGAAAGCATTCAGATCACCTTGTTTTCTTTGTGAAAATATTGCACGATCTACATGATGCACGCAAATATTGATTCAAGCGTTCCAAGTAAAGTGATTTCGATCAGAACGTTCCAGTAGCTCTCAAAAATATAGCAACGAAATATTGCAAAAGTTATTGAACGAAAATTTAATAAAAATAAAAATAGGTTTACAGGTTATTTGGAGAAAAATTAAGAGATAGATTTCGATTCACTAAAGAAGTTGATTTAAATACATTATATGGGAAACTTAGTACCGTGTTGAGCCAGAAGAGGCGGGAGCGTCACAGATTGTCACTTACTGGATTGTGTAATCCAGTATTTATTTTATATTTTAATGGTACGTAAATGTACAATGATTTGATACCTAAAATTTTGTACAAAATAATAACGTTATAATAATATACAAGTTTCCCATTCATTTTCATACCTCCAACAACTAAAGAAATAATTACATAAACCTGAACACCTCTAGAACCCTGTATACCAACGTCTGGTAAAGAATCTTTTTAAAACGTCAAACAATAAATCACGCGCAATAATTTAAAAAACATCTTTTAAAACGTGTGAATGATGTTTCGCTGAAAGCAACGCAAGCTGATAAAATGCAGAAGTGTGGATGTGCCGAATCAATTATTTCGCAGAATACGTGACGAGAATGAACGGAAATATTTTATCGCGCGAAAAAACGGAGCAGCTCCTCCACTTATTTTTCCATGAAAAATATGAAACGCGGCGTAAATCCGGCCGGATACTCTCCAAGATGCAACAAAGCACAGCAATCGGAAATACTTTTCAAGCATTTCGAGCATTTCGAGCACAACAAATTTCCATAAATAAAATATCCAATAAAAAAAAAAAAAAAAAAAAAAAAAAAAAAAACAC